CTGCAGGAAAGGACCCGGGGTCACAGAGGACGAGAAGCTGGATATGAGTCAACAGTGTGCTCTTGTTGCCAAGAAGGTTAACGGCATTTTGGGCTGTATAAGTAGGGGCATTGCCAACAGATCGAGGAACTTGATCGTTCCCCTCTATTCGACATTGGTGAGGCCTCATCTGGAGTACTGTGGCTAGTTTTGGGCCCCACACTACAAGAAGGATGTGGAAAAATTGGAAAGAGTTCAGCGGAGGGCAACAAAAATGATTAGGGGTCTGGAGCACATGACTTATGAGGAGAGGCTGAGGGAACTGGGATTGTTTAGTCTCGAGAAGAGAAGAATGAGGGGGGATTTGATAGCTGCTTTCAACTACCTGAAAGGGGGTTCCAAATAGGATGGAGCTCGGCTGTTCTCAGTGGTGGCAGATGACAGAACAAGGAGCAATGGTCTCAAGTTGCAGTGAGGTTGGATATTAGGAAACACTATTTCACTAGGAGGGAAGTGAAGCACTGGAATGCGTTACCTAGGGAGGTGGTGGAATCTCCTTCCTTGGAGGTTTTTAAGGCCCAGCTTGACAAAGCCCTGGCTGGGATGATTTAGTTGGGAATTGGTCCTGCTTTGAGCAGGGGGTTGGACTAGATGACCTCTTGAGGTCCCTTCCAACCCTGATATTCTATGATTCTATGATTCTAAATGTACCGAATGCTGCCTCAGCACAGGGCATGCACTTCACTAGATGATCTTTCAAGGTCCCTTTCATCCCTACATTTCTATGATTTTATGGATAGCACAGAATACAGGGGATGGGTAGGTGGGTGGACGGATGAATGGATGGATGAGTGGGTGGAGGGGTGATTGGGTGGGCAGATAGATGGATCCTGCCTGTACATGATGTAGAAATAGTTTGGTGACATTTGAGGTCTCTTCCGTCCCTACAGTTCTGATTCTATCGACTATATAGAATATTAAATATATTATTAAAATTAATATTTAATGTCACATAAAGGCCTAGAACAAGTCAGAACAAATATTAGAACCTTATTGAAAAGAATTGTTTTCACATAACCAA